TGAGGTACAGAAAACATGGAAGGAGGGCAGAAAACTCAGAGGGGGCAGAAGCAGAAAGAACCTGCATAAAGAAAAAATACAGCACCTGAAAGAAAAAAAGTATACTAGATGGAAGAAAAAGATGAAATGCAGAGCAAAAAGAATTTTCTGTATAAAAATAAACACAATAAAACATACAGAAATAAACTCTTACAATCAATTTATTCCCCTTAACAATAAATCCATTACTAGCATCACTTTTCATGCAAGCTACACAACACTAGAGCACTTAACAGAATCACAGAATAACTGAGGTTGGAAGGGACATCCCTGCACAGGCAGCCACCTTGCACAGGACATTGCAGCACACTGCACAGGATCACGACCAGGCAGGTTTTGAATATTTCCAGGGAAGGAGATTCCACAACCTCTCCAAGCAACCTGCTCCAGCGCTCTGCCACCCTCGCAGTCAAGAAGATTTTCTTTAAATTAAGGCAGAGCTTCCTGCGCTTCAGTTTGTGGTCGTTGCCTCTTGTCCTGTCACTGGCCACCACTGAAGAGTCTGGCGCCATCCTCTTGCCACCCTCCCTTAAGGTTTTTATACACACTGGTAAGGTCACCCCTCGGCCTTCTCTTCTTCAGGCTGCACAGGCCCCACTCTCTCAGCCTCTCCTCGTAGGACAGATGTTCCAGCCCCCTGATCACCTTTGCAGCCCTGTGCTGACTCCCTCCAGCAGACCCCTGACTCCCTCCAGCAGTTCCATGTCCCTCTCATACTGGGGAGCCCAGGGACACCAGGGCTGAGTGGAGGGGCAGGACCACCTCCTGGGACCTGCTGGCAGCACTCCTCCTAACACACCCCAGGACCATGGGTCTTCTTGTGGCACTGTTGGCCCATGGCCAGCCTGCAGTCCACCAGCACCCCCAGGCCCTTCTCCACAGAGCAGGTCACCCCCAGCCTGCACTGGTGCCTGGGGTTGTTCTTGCCTGCACACAGGCCCCAGCACTTGCCATGGCTGAACTTCAGGATAGTCCTCCTCACCCATCTCTCCAGCTTGTCCAGGTCTCTGTGAATGGCAGTATGGCTCTCATGTAGCAGTCATGACTGCCAGTTTCATATCCTCAGCAAACATGCTGAGAGTGCTCTCTGTCCCTTCATCCAGGTCACTGATGACTACACTGCACCCTGGGGGACACCACTAAGCCTCCAACCAGACTGCGCCACTGATCACAACCCTTTAAGCTCTGCTCTTCGGTCAGTTCTCAATCCACCTCACTGTCCACTCACCTAACCCACGCTTCCTGAGCTTCCCTATGAGGATGTTATGGGAAGCAGTTTCAAGAGCCCTGCTGAAGTCAAGGTAAACAATATCCACTGCTCTCCCCTCATCTACCCAGCCAGTCATTCCATCACAGAAGGCTATCAGATTGGTTAAGCATGATATTCGATAAATAAAAGCAGTTTTCCCCCTCTTCCGCTTTTTTTTTGTGAATCGGATCCCTAAAAGCTGCTCTTCAAAACAGAACTTTAAAAAAGTTTAAAGAAAAACTTATACAATCCTTTCCCATTAAGCAGCCATTTCAGTCAGGTAGGCCTAGCCCTTCACTCCCTCCTTGCCAGATCACTTTCGTCTCAATCACAGTGCTGGCAGCTCACTCGCCTGTTACCCCACACAGCCAAACTGGGACACTAAACTAGCTGGGAAATAAGGTGATGAAAGCAGGAACCATAGAGGGTAGGTGTTTCTCAGGCAGATCACTTCCCTGCTCCAGTTCGCTGTACAAACAGCTGCACTAGCAAAACAAGCAGGATGGTACAAGGCTGCATGCTTACATGTGTGTGCATGCACATATATGAGAATGTGTGTATACAGGTGTTATATGCATATATATGTGTATACATGAGAGGATGTGTGTGTGTATGTGCACATATATACATACATATAAGGATATATATTTGTACAAATATAAATACATACAACCAATACCTACTTAAGACATCACTGCTGCCAAAGAAAATGCACTTGGACTTGCAACATAAGTGAAAAACACTCACTTAAAGGTCCTTATAAAATTGTTCAGTACAATAAAAAAAGTTCTTAGCTAACACAGCTGAAGCTGCCGTCATCTAAGATGGAACAAAAGTCAGCATTAAAAACACTAATAATAACGTTCATAAGAAAAAAAAAATCTTAGCCTCTACTTTTAATTTTTTATGCTAATCTGAAATTATCACTAGACTTTTTTTTTTCCCCCAGATAGAGGAAAGCATCTATTCCAAATATTGACTATTACAACATGAATAACTTTGTGGTAATCCGGGCAAAGGTTAAAAAATGCTATTTTAAACATGTTTGTTTTCTAAAAAGTTTATTCCCTCAGTGAGACGAGGTGGACTTCTAGTCCCCCTACACAGTCACTGAATTGATGCTTTGACGCTTACAGAAGCGTAGTTTTCCCTACCTACTAGGCCAATACAGAAGGCTACTAATCCTCGTTCCCACCTAATTAGTCAAGAATTCCTTGTTACTTAATGCTGAAAATCACTTTTCTAGGCATACATCGCATCCTAAGTATGTGATGATACCACCCCAACACGTTTCATTAGTTTACAAAGCACCTCAAGCTGGATGGATGATTATCCTGTAATAGTAGTTTTCTTGAAGTTAGTCATTTTTACACCCAGATCACAGTATATACAACTTTTGTCTGAAATATCTATCGCAAGAAAAATGAGTTTTTTTACTTTACTGTAAACATTACCCATGCGCATACATATTCATATGTACAGATATGGCTGGACAACTGGCTTCATTCAACTCATTGTACTGTAACTATGTTAAAACTGGATGCCCAGCACTAGTTAGGATAAACTGACAGAGCCGAAGAAAGCTATTTCCATCCTTTTCCCCATCTCACGATGTTTCTTTTCTTTGAACTCAGACAAGGAATTTAATTAAAAAAACAATTCTGTCTCTAAAAAGTTGGTTTTAACTCAATCAATTCCCTGATGTGGTTCATAACACAACAGCTTGTTTTACATAACGGAGAGGAAGCAGGAGAAAAAAAGCCACTTGAACAGAAGAAGGAACAGCAGCAGGACTAACTAATGCCAGCTTAAAGTGTTCCTCATCTGACTGCCAAATCTGTATTAGCTGACATTGCCAACGTAGAACAAAAACCTCATACATCAATAATTTACTACATCTATCATCACAATCAAGAGGAGATCAAAGGGAAAGATATCTGTATTATGTACACAGCATTTCATATAATCACTGAAAAATCCCTAATTAGAGATTTTGGGTTCCCACCAACTGCCTCCCTCTCTCAGATCCACACACACAAAGCCACAGTATTCATTTCTCAAAGTATATTTAAATAACTTCAAAATATTTATGTGTAATATGAGCAACACCAACTCTTGAACGCTTTGTCAGTCATGTTAACGGAACTCAAATCTTTACTAAAACATTAAAGTTGCTGAGTCACACCATTGGTTTGAACTTTCCAGATAACCAAAATTCACAGACATATTTAGGAAACCTCACATCAATAACATCTGCTTGTAGTTAGTGCCTCCCTTGCGCAATTTGGGGACTGTACAGTCATTGCATGTAGCATTTAAATGACTAGAGTACTTGTACTTTGGCAGAAGTCACTTGGCTTGCAAAAGACTAACAGTTCATTGGTCATCTGCCACTGGTGACATGACAAGAAGTCATGTATTCTTAAACTAACAGCAGGCAGTTTCTGAGGCAAAGGTTCTTCAGTAATAGATGATTTGTTACTCCTATCCACTACCAAGGTATTCTGAAGCCCTTCATCAAAACATCCTTTAAATGCTCAAATACCTTACTAAACTATGATCTATTAAGAGCTATATTGACAATAAAGCATACAAGTACTCTTGAATAGGAATAGATAAAAGATTTAATCCATTTCTAATCCCAGGAAAGAGACTTATTAACCTTTAAAAATTAGCAGGGTAAGTGTCTTCAGCAAACCTCTAAACTTACAAAAAGAAATATTACAGCTCTTTTTTAGTTCTTGCAAGAAGTGGTTGCAACTTTTGTGATTAAATTCTTGGTCTGAAATTGCACGTTCTTTGAAACCTAGTGTTCTCAAAGTGGTTCTGTTCAGAACAAGAGAATACAACTTAAATTTTTAATCACATCATACAGGTAGGAGTCCCTTGGATCAGGCTGGAACAGATTATGAAATAAATAAATGAAAGTTCCACAGATGGTTAAATTTTTGTTTTTACTGCAGCACAGCCCGTTTAACACATTGCCTGTTCCTCCCTCCAGTCACACCCACTCAGTCACACTAACAAAATGTTTTGCGCAGCTCAAAGCACACCAGAGCAGTGATACAAAGCAGTTTATGTTTGGCCCCACTCCTTCCCTTTTTAATTTTTTTTTTTCTCCTCAAAACAACAATGAATTTTAGTAATCTCTACTGTTCTGCCTGGCATAGCAACAAAAATGAGCCAGGAACATGGGTCATAATCTCTCCAGCTTGACTTTTTTCATTCCACACATATTTTACATTTACTTTGGCTCATATTTTTCGTAACTTCGGTCCGACTCCAACTGAACTCTTTGCCTACACTCCTCTTCCCAAATTATCTCCATTTAGCTGTGCATCCCATGACCTCATCACAGCTTCCCTCTACTCCAGCAGAGTTTACTCATTTCTCCAATTTTGTCCTCCAATTCCACCTCTTGGTTAAAAAAAAAAAAAAAAAAAAAAAAAAAAAACCCCAAAGAACCCAAAAAAAAAAAAAAAAAACCTCCAAGGACTCATATAGCAGCAACTAACACATTTGTTTTATTTCACTCAGAATGCTAGCAAACAAGCAGCAATTACTTTGAGCTTACATGTGTTTAGTTTGGATGGGGTAAAATGAAGTATTCCACTTTACAGGACAGTTTTTATAGCTGTTGGAATTTTTAAAACTAGTAAGAGAAAACAAGAGGGAATATCTGGAAAATGGAAATAGAACAAGCTTTGCTTACCTTGAAAATGCCAACCCAGTCCTTCTGATGAGGATGGATATACTGGGTCAGTGTATAGTGACATTCAAGGTGCGCGTTTGGAAGATAACTTTTTGCCACATTTTGAAAAATCACATGTGCAAAATTGGATGTCTGCAAAGCATTAGCTGAAGATGGAACTTCTTGAAAGGATGACATGGCTGATCTGTAACAAAATGTTAGAAGTTACTACTAAAATACAGTGGAAGAATTTGGTTATAAAAGAATCTATTTGAAATGCACAAGATAGAAACTTAAGAATTAATTCCACTCTTCCAAAACCAGACTGAAATAGGCCAAGTTCTCCCAAGCGCAGTGCCTCAGCATCACTCCAAAACAATCATCTCTTATAATGAAAGAGCATCCACTTCAGTGAGGACACAGAAGAAGAAAAGGCATCACTGGGCTGAATGGCCCTAACATTACATCTCAAAAATAGCAGGAGAAAGTGGTGGAAAAAAACGTGATGAAGGGAAAAAAACAATTTCCTCATTTCTCCTGAGGAAGATAGAAGTGAAAGAGCATCTTGCACTGTTCTACAAGCCCCTCATCCTGCAGATTTAGTTTTACTACCATGAACTGTAGACTTCATTGATAGTGAGAACATTTAGGTGCATATGCAGTTTGATGGATTAACACTGAATTCAACTGGATTGTACAAGCACTACTGCACTTTCTGTTCAGGTCCTCATTCAGGTTACATTTCACTGAAACCTACAGAAATGAAAGAGACGCTTCACAACCAGACCAAGAACATCCCTTCCTTAGATCGAACAACTCTGTCAGAAAGCTAAATTTAAATAAGTTTCAACTGGCAAGTTTCAACTATCAGATTTTAGTCTGCCATCACAAGTTTGTCAGAACATTGAGTATGAGAGGATTGAGGGCTTATTTCTGGCAAGAAGAGCTCATATTTCCTAAAATAAAATGTGCTCAGGACTAAACAGTTATTCATCTGAACAAGTAAGAAACAGAGATGTTTTTGGTTAAGCCTTCAATATTTTAAGCGCATTATCATCTGACTCAATGTAATTGAGGCACATACAGACACCAAGAAACACAAGCCAAAAAAAAAAAAAAAAACCCTTAATAGTGAAAACTAGGAAATATAGAAACTAGGTAAGAATTTACAAAACCAAAAAACTGAATAAACATTAAAAGATTTTCTTTAGGGACAAGGAGGAGTACATCTTTGGAGAATACAAATAAATCCCATCTGTTATAGAACTTCAAGATCTACAGGCATATAACAGGTTTTAGAGCCTACAACTCTGAAAATTCTCACCCCCCTCAAAAGAGAAAGTTATACTCATGATACCTCTCAAAATCACCCCAAACCATAGAACTTTAAGAAAAAGTTTTTTTTTTAAATAAACAACTCTCCCTCTCAAAAAAAAAAAAATAGTCACAACTTTCTTCCAAGTTTAACTAACGCATTCATTTTTAATAGCTTTATGGTATCTGAGGCAAAGCCAAATACTATCGGCATGAAACAGAATATCACTTTTTGTTAGCCAGAATAATGAAATAAAAATGCAAAGCATTAACAACAAAAACAACAGGATTTAACATTTTCTTGAAACAGACTTATTTCAGAAACTGGGAAATTCCTTACGACAGCCTCTTAGAGCAGGCAAAGGCCAAGCACTCGGTTTTGGTCTGTCAGCCAAGCGTGGCTTTACTGGAAACGCCAGCAAAGGGGCTCTGCTTCCCCAGGGCGAGAGAGAGCTCCAAGTCTGCCCGCGCGCAGGGCAGCAGGGATTAGCGCTGGGCAGCAGCAAAATCCGCGGGGCTTAGGTGAAGCCGAGACCTACTTACGGGTCCAGGATAGCTGCGGGGACGCTGAGTGCTCACTCCCTAGGGGCGAAGCTCGCAGGGCGAACAGGGAGCACAAGGAAAAGCTGCGTGAGGCCACGGACGTGCCAGGCCCCGCGCGGGGCGGCCGCTCGCCGCGCGGAAAAGCCCCGCGGGGCGCCGAGCTCGCCAGGCAGGAAGCACCAGAACGGGCCGGGCCGGGCCGGGCCTCCCGCACGGCTCCTCCCGCTGCACCTGACACC